CCAGATAGAATGCCAGAACATAAGCCAGAAGATATGCCAGATAGAATGCCAGGAGATATGCCAGAAGATGTGCCAGAACATATGCCAGACGATATGCCAGAAGATGTGCCAGAACATATGCCAGAAGATATGCCAGATAGAATGCCAGATAGAATGCCAGAAGATATGCCAGAAGATATGCCAGAACATATGCCAGAAGATATGCCAGAAGATATGCCAGATAGAATGCCAGATAGAATGCCAGAAGATATGTCAGATAGAATGCCAGAAGATATGCCAGAACATAAGCCAGAAGATATGCCAGATAGAATGCCAGAAGATATGCCAGAACATAAGCCAGAAGATATGCCAGATAGAATGCCAGGAGATATGCCAGAAGATGTGCCAGAACATATGCCAGAAGATATGCCAGATAGAATGCCAGATAGAATGCCAGAAGATATGTCAGATAGAATGCCAGAAGATTTGCCAGTAAGGAAATGTATAAATGTCATGGTAGGGATCACACGAAGTAAAGTAATTGATGTTTTTTGCCTGATCAACTATAATTAACCCCGTCAGCGCATGTTAAAACACCCCCTTCAAGTATGGTCCCGAACATGTGTAATTTCCCACTAAAACATTGTTTCTGACGGGTGTCTATTTTTTCTGAGGGAAGGGATTAATTGCAATTGCCATGGAATTACCACGGAATTATATATAATATGGATTATTAGGTTCTACAAGTGTCTAGATAAGATGCAATGATATATGATTATAATAGATATTGTATGCAATGATATATTTTACATGGGTGGTGTTTGTAGCATGCAACCTCTTTTTGGGAGATTCACCCCCAGCATAGGGCACTTGACACCAATGCAATTCAACATGGCAACAAGACTGGGCTTGAATCCATGAACGGATTTGACCTCATCAGAATGGCAATTTCATGCCACAGGAGATACTCTCTGGTAAACATACAAAAAACTATTTAAAATTGCAATTTGTAGTTGATTTACCAATGAAACATTGTGATTTTCCATAGTTTTTTGTATGTTTACCAGATGGTAGAATGGAGATACCATCAACAAAACGGCCTTTCTCTGAAGTAAGAAATGATGGTGGTTTATTGGCTTACCAGGTCCTCCACCATCTCACCGAGCTACCCAAGAATTGTGGCGCGTTTTTTTTTGCACTCTAGTGAGTTATAAGTAGGAGAAGTAGGGTAAGAAGGGTCAGTCCATAAGGGAGGTGAACTAACCCACTTGCGATTTGTGGGGTGAACCAAGCTTCTCAATGTGAAATTTCCAGTTGGGGATCAGAACTTTGTTGGGACTTTCAGCTCTGACAACTTTGAAATTGGAAAATTTCTGAAAAAAGGGCAGTGTTCCATATGTTCCATCATGTTAGCATCTATAATCTATGGACTGATGGTTAGTACGGGGTAACTATCCCAAAATAGTCTTATTCCAGGTTTGCAATGACTGTCATTTGTCCAGATCCTACGAGAGTGTTTCATGTTTTTCAACATGTCGCACCCCAAACTGCACCAGAAGCGGCTATGCTTGGGGGTCCGTTTTTTATTTACAGAAGGCTCGAGTTACACCTCCCCCTATTCAAGTTCCCTTGCTCCGACTTAACAAAAAAGACGAACCAAGATATCTGATGTTCCGTGGTCTTGAAGATTGTTGATCCTTTCGGACCAAGCACTGGGTGCGCTGACCTCCAGTTGTCTCATTGTCTACATGTTTCTTCTAATCGCGCGAGCTTGTATTATCTTGTATTGGGATATCTATGCGTGCTTCATATTCTCTCCTTCATCATCTTCAAACTCATACTTAATAAAACTGCAGCCACAATATGCTCAAAATTGCCGCGTTTCAATTGATGACAAAATATGGCCAAATAACTTTCTAGACAACCATGTAAATAAGTTCGGATGGTTTCAAATTTATAACAACTAATGTCTCAATATTACATATATATATATAAATACACAGTTATAAAATAATTATATAGTATCATATCTATTTATAATCACATATATTTTAATCATGTATATATATATAATCACATATATATAATCATATATATTATATTATATATATATATTCACATATATATATATAATCACATATATATAATCACATATATATATATAATCACATATATATAATCACATATATATAATCACATATATATATAATCACATATATATATATAATCACACATATATATATATATGTATATATATATGTATTGTAATATATATATATGTATTGTAATATATATATAATTAAATGGTATATTTACATAATATTCAATGCACACATCAGCGATTCGCCACTTTTGAAGCATTTCCACCAGGAAGAAGAGGCCACGGCCCACGCGCATCACCATGCGTCAGTCGCGTGTCTCAGTGATGGAGGCAGGAAGGTCCGGTGTGTTTTTTTATGTTCGTCTATGGCTATGGTGATTCATCCCAGTGAGCAACATGATTAGGGGCCTCAAGTAGAGTTGAGGCCAACAAAAACTTTTGGGGACCCTCGACATGGAGTCAGCTAAAGCTTTCAGGTCAACTATGCATAAAACAACGATAATCAATATCACTCAAACAGGTTGGCGTACTTTGTAGTGGGCCAGGTTATTAAGCTATTCCGGGATTCGGCTTACTTTATTGAAAGGGTTTTTTTGTCATCGGATGTAAACAATCATAATTCATAATATATGCGCGCTTTTTATCTACATATGTAAAGATATGGTTTGTGCATGTTTGTGCATACTTTGTAAATGGTTAAATCCTCATCATCGTGGTAAAAAAATCCACCTCGCGACGTCACGGCAAATGATCGGTAGTAGGCTAGTAGGGGAAGATGATTCCATTTATGCATCTTCATGCCCGATTTTTTTCAGGTGAATTATTCTAGTTTTGTGTGTATCGTTTACGTTCTTTCTTAAATGCTTGAAATTGGGTTTTACATGGTTTGTGAGGGTTGAAACCCACAACTGCTGGTTTGTATGGTTGATACAGGGTTTACATGAACGATGTATGTTGGAATTCAGAAGCCAGACAGATACTTGTTTATATTTGGGAATTAATGGTAAAACAATGCAGTGACGTGTTTGAGGGACTTCATCCGACCAAAGAAATCGAAATTTTGGTTATCAAACAACTGGGTAATTTGTCAACAAAACAAGGGTTTTGACGGATTTTGCCAACAAAATACGGAAAGTCAGCAATGAATGTTGGTTTCGGCATGGTGGTTTAATTGAAAACCAATTATGATTATTACACACCGATACCTGAGTCTATTCTCTGTGGGTGTGTCCCCAAAAAATGGAACCCACTTCTTCCAGAGGCAAATCCCATGTTTGTTTGGCTTACCTATGCACCCCCCAGTGGTCCCCTTAAATTGGGTATTTGGAATGCAGTTCTTTTTTTTCATATTCTATGATGTGCAGTTTGGGTCGTTTTTTCAGTGTGGGGGCAGGTAAGATTGTTTTGTTATTATATATGCAAGCATCAAACCCTGAAGAGTGATGCAGCCCATATGTTAGTGCAGCACACAACTGAATCATGTGGCTTGTGCAGTGCCTACAGCAAGCTGTAGCCAGTGGTGAACATTGTTTGGAAAGGGCTTGATTGTTGCACCCACCCCCCTGACCCCTTCTTGGCCCAAGTGCCTGTTTCCAGCCTGTGGGGCTGTGGTGCTGCCCAGTTGGTAACTGGTTGGCCAGATCCAGTTGCCAACTGGGTAGCTCTGTCTTACAGATCATTGGAGAAAAAGTATGCTTGCCTGTGTGATGCTAGTGGCTGCATGCATGTATGAAGGGTTGCATATCAACACATCCTCGGCAAGGAATTCTGTTTCTCAGGCAGAGCTGTCTCCGACCATACGATCACAGGTTGGAACATCTTGGAACTCTGGTAATCAAATACCCTCTGGTAAACATACAAAAAACGATGGAAAGATCCACCATTTTCAATGGGTAAATCCACTATTTCTGTGGTCATGGTCAATAGCTATGTTAAATTACCAGAGGGTATGTCAATATGGAAAATCCACCATTTGGATCCAGCTGGTGATTTTTTCCCATGAAAATACAAATTTACAAAGGCTTTCCCAGCTAGCCGTGTTGAACTACGGGAGCGCATCCACCTTAGCCGTGCTTCGCAAGCGTCTCCTTCGCCGCTTGCGCGGCTAGGTCAAAGACAAAGTCGCCAAGAGAGGCTGCAGTGGGAGCCAGGGGGGCCAATTTCGGGGCTCAAATGACTGCAGCTTGGGAACTTGGGTTCCCCTTGACTGATTTTTCAACCAGACTTGGGATGTCTGAGACGACTGATGAAAAAACTTGAAACCACCAGTTGACAATTTGGGTCTGGCCATTTTGGGTTTGTCCCAACAAACAGCTTTTGAGATCCAACATGATCTGAGATGTTGCTCGAGATGTTATGACTTTGGTGTCCGAAAACATGTCTTGAGATCCATTGAGATCCACTCAAGATGCTGACCAGTTCCACAACATTAGCCGTGCTTTTTGTTGGGAAGAGCCCTTCGGTTGCTAAGATGCAAGTCTCAGCCATTTTCGGGGTATTGAACACTTACTGACTACCCCCTTCCCCCCAATGCGAACCTAGGTTAGTAGTGGATCTGTTCACTATATTTCATTTCCGTGTCCCTATTCGCTAATATAGCATAGACATATTCATATACATGATAATTATACATAATATATAATTATAATTATATATACTTGAACAATTTATGTGTACTATGAATTACTATGATAGATATCATAGACATATGTCATATGTTCAATTCCTATTTCATCATATTTCATCCACATCCAATTCCTTTTTGCTATCGTAGACGGATTACATATTACAACTTGAAGCATCCATGCACGTCGTGCAGCTGGAGAATCCCAACGATATTTCAACGGATCTCATTCTGAAAAACGATGTTTGAAGACTTTGAATGATACTGTAGCTGGGTGATTTTCAAATATCACTATTATAAAGTATACATTTATGGTAGTAATTGATATATATTTTTTTTTATGGTAATTGATATGATACTTTAATGGATACGATTCTGTAAATGGGTGATTTTCCATTGCCAAGTAAAATTACACGTTTGATTTTGTTTGATAATGCGGGTGTTGGTATATTTGTTGATCATGTCGTGGCTTCTTCGCCCATCTCCTGTGAGTGACATCCCTGCATTTTTCATGGTTTTGGACCCTCTAATGTCGCTCCATGGAAGACAAGAAACGAAAAATCATTGGCGAACTGGTTCCCAACTTTGAATGGTCCGAAACGGGATGGGTATCCCCCACCAAAGTATATAGATACCCCGACAGTGTGCACCCCTTTTTCTGATTAGACATTTGGGATTTCCAGGTGGAAGGCGTCTGAACACATCTGCCTGGATGGTGATAAGCAGTTGTAAAATCATGTATATATAATATAATCTATATTGAGGAATCACTGAGTACATGGGTTTGTCTGAAATTCTGAAAATAGAGTACCCCAAATTCCAATGGTTGTTTCTGATTTTCCCTATTACAATGCTTACTGGGGGCTATACCTCATTTTTAGACACACCCACATATCATATTAATTTGGTTATACATCACATTATTTCCCAAGCACATTCTATATTTCTGTTTGTAAATCACCATAGAATGCTAACCTTTATTGGTTAATCCCATTGATGGTTGGTACAGTATAATCCCACCCCTATCATTCCCATGATCTCCACTATCCTCCTTATGATCCCTGTTTTTGATGGTTATATTATCCCCAAAATCGAATCTGCATTGTGTTGCACCACTTTTTGTTGGGTTCCCTCAAGTCCCCCCTATGTCCCACGACTACAGAAACGCTCCGCAGGTGTGCCAGTCTTCGCGGATGAAAGGGAGATGAAGCGAAACGTGCGGCAGGCCATGATGAAGACACGCTACAACGTCCACGACACTCGGGACGGATCAAGCGATGAGGCAACACGAACTCATTGATCCACCGGAGCTATGTGAAAATACTCCACTGTTTGTTGGGTTAACTGCCAGTTATTGAAGTATAAATAAATGTTGGTCAGTAGTCGGTTATTATATAAATACCCAACTGTTAAAAACGAGATTTCGTTTTTTATATAACGTCAGAAATATGGACATATCATTGTGAGAAAAAGGTTGAGCTGAGCGAAGGATTTGGGTTTTATTCTGCTGAGAATAACATGCGGCTGTCGAAGGTTTGGTTAGAAAATATCTAACACGATAGACTACGTATAGATACGTATAGTGTTTACTACTGGGTGCCTGGATTAAGTCATCCTTCCACGTAAGACGTTTGCTTTTTGTGGTGTGCCCGTAAGGTTTGGCTTTGTCGACTGCTTTGATTACACGATGCCATGTTGGGCTGCCTCTCTTTGTCTCTGGTGTGCATAAGGTTTTTGTGTGCATATGTCACATGCAGCATTGGATTGTTGCATTGCTGATATTAGAATAGTATGGAATTATCATGGTGACATGGTGTTTGGCTGGCTTAGATGGCAGAGGAAGGCAGTTGGAGGATGTTGGAGGATCTTTGAGGCGTGAAGGTGTGTAGGTCAGGATTCAGGTGGGGAGTCGCGCGAAGCTGACGCTTGGCATCGCATATGCCTTGTGCAGGGCGTTGGGACCCATGGTCTTTCTTGGATTCTGAACGACAATAGCGCTACAACGATGTGTTTAAGCTGCTCGAATAGTGGACACCACACTTTGTGTCCGTTTCGATGGCTTGCCCATGTGCAAGGGTGACGGGCAGGGGTGACTTACCACGACCACCCAGTTCCCCAGAAATCTCACCTTTCTGGTCATGAAAAACCGCTGATTGGTTCGTGACTCAGAATCGGCAGGGGCATTCAGTATATGCAACTTATGGCAACCTTCAACATAGACGGAACACGACTGAACATGATAGAACAGTTCTTCAACGGCGTTGCAGATGATCAGTATCTATCTGATACTTTTGACGTGCATTATTTCAATTCCTGGGACATCTGGAGAAATGGTTAACTCGGAATCAAAACATATAAAAACATGATATGGGGAGTCCAAGTTACTAACCAGCTATAGAGGGACACATCCAGCAACGATTTTAGGTGGATCCGATTGCTCGCCCAGGACCTATACCATAAAACCGGGCTGCTTGGACCCAGTTTTGGACGGTGAAATCTATGGGATCTATGGGATTTCCCCAATGGCTGGAGAATCCATTGAGAACAATTTTTAATTTAATTTTGGGAATAGAATCCATAACCAGAAGATTGGAATGATTGGAACGTTGAAGTGGTGCCAGAGCCCTGAAAGATGCTGGAAAGTCTCCCAAAGGAACATGATCATTTTCTAGGCTTCTGCCCACATATCACCAACTGTCGCCACAGCACACCGTTTTGCCCGAGGTGTGCTCAACGAGTGGCGCGTCATCCCTACTTCGAAAATGCGGTGCTGGTGAATCGGCTTGTTTTGAATCTAATTTTACTTGTACACATTGCATGTCCCCAAGAATGTATGGCACATTCTTGACACCCGGGAAGTGTATCACATTTTACGTGGGCCCTATGCATTGGGATGACCCGTGGTGTCGTGAGTTCTCCGGGAATACTGCTACGATATATCCCATAAACATGACATCACAGCCACAGCTATGCTTGAGAAGTCAATGTGGATACGTATATGTATATACATGTAATATATGTAATCACTTACACCTGTATATTTTGTAGGACAGCCACTAATCAGGTACAGAAGTGAGTTGCAGAACCATCTCAATATTTTTGATTGGCAAGTTGACTCTCATCCCTGAATTGGATGAAAGGAACATTGGAAAGGAACCCACTATTTTTATGAGAGCAATATGCTTTCCTGCAATGTTTCCTTTTGAATCCTTTTGATCTATCCATTGAAAGTCACTGCAATGTTCCTTATTGTTTCTATCATTTCTGACGGCTACTGTTTGTTGATAGAGCTCATGTGACATGGTTTCTCGTTTCTCTTTCTATCTATTTCTATCATTTCTGATGTCATCTATGATTTTTTGTTGGTTACATTGACATTCTGTGCAGGTTCAAAAGCCATCCACATCCCCACATCCCCACATCCCAAACGATCTCCGTCGAGGGGGTCATCTTCCTCAATGCCATTTGGTTGTCCATCGACATCGATAACAACTCTGCGGCCGTTCTGGTGGATGCCTCGCCCATTTTCATTGCCACTCGGCTACCGATGATCGGTGGAGCTAGCTGCTAGACTTTTTTCATGGTAGAAACTTGGATTGTTCATAATCCCAGTAGTACAAACAATAGGTATAACAGTGGTATATTATATTAATGCATATTAACTATAAGCAGTAGGACTCAGTGGGATATAGTGATTCACATCCTGAGGTTATTGGCTTGATGCACCTCGGCATCCCAATTGGTAAGTGTTCAGTACTTCGATATAAACATGGTATGCCGCACTTACCCTCTGGTTATTTAACATAGCCATGGAAAATCACCATTTTGAATAGGTAAACCATCTATAAATGGCCATTTTCCATGGCTATGTTAAATAACCAGAGGGTAAGTCTATTTTGTCTGCTGCACGATGGGATATCCCCAGTTGTGTATGAGGCTTGCAATCCACTTGCTCAAATCCAAGTAGTTAAGCCCATGAATAGGGGCTTTATTATCCATGCTTATCCCATCGATGAAGTGGAAAGGTGGATCCTCCAAATGGGAATGAACATTAACCGGATTTTGAACAGCTATATTATGTGTTCTGGAGGGTAGAAATTGGAGAATCGCCCCATACATCCAAACCCTGGTTAGGGTTGGTGTTTTTATCTTTTTTTCCACCAGCCAAGTACAAAAATCGGATCACCCTAGGAGCTAGAAACTTCCATTTATAGTGGATTTCCTCATGTTCTCCCATGATTTCCCATATTTTCTGCCAGGTGAGGGTCTCTAGATTTTATCAGACTTGCTTTCTCCTTCTTCTCCTCCGGTCGGATCTCAACTGCGAATGCCGGATCTCAGTGGGCACAGCCGGACCTCAACTGCGAGCGCCAGATCTCAGTGGGCACTGCGAGACTTCAACCGCGAGCGCCAGACCTCAGTGGGCACTGTCCGAACGGCGAGGGCCAGACGGGGTTAATGGTGAAGGCCAGATCTCGGTGGGCACTGTCGGAACAGCGAGGGCCAGACCTCTGTGGGCACTACCGGACCTCAACTGCGAGCGCCAGAGCTCAGTGGGCACTGCGGGACTTCAACCGCGAGCGCCAGAGCTCAGCGGGCACTGCCGGACCTCAATCGCGAGCACCAGACCTCAGTGGGCACTGGCCGGACCTCAACTGCGAGTGCAAGATGTCACATACAATGTCAGATAGAATGCCTGATAGAACAGAGACAATTTTAGATACATATGTGATGTGATGTTTTGATGTGGTGTTTCTGTCAGGGTAGGGACGTGACCTTGTTGGTGGCTCGCAGCAAGATCCGGGTTGGCGTACCAGCTAGGCAGTTTGCAGAATATACGTCAGATTATATATCACAATATATTATATGCCTTGAAATGCCATGGTGGGGATTACTTGAAGTAAAGTATATAACTTTCCATGTGTTTTTTCAAAAATCGGGTGCGGGTTAAAGAGCGTTATGACAACCGCTTATCTGTCGCTGCTGGGATGATCCGTCGTGGCGGCAACGCCTGTCATTGACTGTACCCTTCGGATTGGCCCACAGCGGGACAAAGCCATCTACATCAAAAGACGAACAGGATACATAGAGGTAGGCATATGTATATCATACACACATTCTATGATATTCATGATATTCCATGTACATATATAGATATTATATAGATGTAAATTAGTACATACATATATATATATATGTATACGTATATATTATATTATATTATATATATACACCTTGAGAACCAAAACCCGCAGAAATCTTAGGGTTTGAAAAATACCGGAGCTTTTCAGGAAAAAACAGGGTATTTTAACCATTTTGAAAGTACGGGTTAGGTACGGGTTAGGTACAGGTTAGGTACGGGTTAGTACGGGTTAAGTCCGGGTTAGGTACGGGTTAAATACGGGTTCAAAATCAATACCCGAGATCTTCAATCGAAAACCGAGTTTTTTTTTTTTATTTTTTCCGAAATACCTCAGGTTCTTGCGTTGATCCGAAGAATTCTTAGGGTTTTGGGTTTCCAGGTATCTATATATATATATATATAGAGATTACAAACATGATGAAATGACTAATCCTCTCTCCCTATTACTGAAGCACCCCCCACATGGTAAACACGGTGATCTATTTTTATTATTAGGGGGTAGTTTGTATTAGGGTGTCCCTAATATTCGAATGAAAAACCCTAATAATTAAAATAATATCTACATAAAATATTGCCAAAAACTGGATTTCGAAGTTTTCCCCTAATATTCCAATGAATACCTTGATAACAAAAATAGATTCAATTTCAAATTTGATTAAATCAAATTAAATTCCTTTTTAATATCTATATAAAATATTGCCCAAAACTGGATTTCGAAGCCTCCCCCTAATATTCCAATGAAAACCTTAATAATAAAAATAAAAAATATAACTTGTGAGATGGGACCCTAATCACAAAAAACCTCCAGGTGGCAATCTTTTTATTAATAGGGGGTTGAAGGTTGAACCCATTGTTTCACCATCCTGTTCTCCTATTGATTCTCAATTACCACAATTAAGAATCCAATTGTGCCCAGCCAAAAAAAAACCGGAAGTGCCACACCAATCCTTTTTTTTAATTTTGGGGAGTTTTAGTGATAGGAAAAAGGGATTGTATTACATAATGTGTACTTAGTGCATATGTATCTATGTACAAAATATATACCCTCTGGTAATTTAACATAACTATGGAAAATCACCATTTTTGATGGGTGAATCCACTATAAATTATCATTTTCAATAGCTATGTTAGTTTACCAGAGGGTATACCCAGGTGATGGAGAACATGTTCTGTTTATTCTTCACTGGCGAACTGCTGATCCGTTTCTTCGCCTTTGAACCTTGGAATCGCCCTGTTGACCGGCTGTCCGATCGGTGCAACCAGACGTGGTAAAATTGTGGGGAGATCACTGGTAAACGATGGTTGATCAAGGATCCATGGTTAGTATCTGAACTCTCATCTACAGTTTCTGACCATGAATAACAATGATATAGCCGAATCATGGCTCTGTTTTTGAACATTACCCCATAAATCCATGTATCAATCATCATTCTCCCTACAGAAACGGAGATATCATGGGCTATGCCATGCCATGCCGTTTTGGTTGCGTGGATCAATGGGATATACCGATATACCATGATATACCCCAAGATGTCCATTTGAATTTTGAACATGTGGGGTTTGGAGTGGCCGTGTAGACTATGTTCAGACAAATCAATCTTGTTTGATCAGTTTGCACCCTCCAGTAATCAAACATAGCCATGGGAAATACCCTATGAATGGAGGTTCATAGCGGGAAAATCATTTATCAATGGGGAATTTTCCACTGCCATGTTTGATTACCGGAGGGTAAACCAAGGCCAGAAAAAGAGATTGCTGCAAAGATTTCTGGTTTGTTTTCGACTGCGTTGTGAACATCTACATGGTCGGTGAGACGTGGTTGGAGCAGCAGTTGGACTAGCGGATGGTATTTGGGTGGATAGTTGAAGGGCAAGAATCAACAAAATTTGTTGGTGATATCGTTTCTGGTTGGTGGTGTCATATCTGTTTGATTTTCAGATTTGGGATGATGAATTTGAGGGGGGATTGAAACCACCAACTTGGCAGTCCGAAACGCATTGAAAAATTCCCGGAACCATTTCCAGCTGTCATCTGCCCGAAATTCACAACTTGCGAATGCTTGCGATTTGAAGATCCAATATCGGTACGGTCAAAATTATTGACCCCATGTTGTATCATGAAAATTACTATAAACCTGGACCTTCATTCACACGCAAATTCTTGTGTACAAATTTTGTACAAATGCTCATTGTACACATGTTTGGTGATTTGTACATCTTTTCGCTGAAATGGTGTGCCTCATGCAAAAGAAGCAACATAGCACCTTTTCAACTAGCAACACCAGATTAGGTTGAATCTCATCACTTCATTAAATCCCATGTTTGAAAGCATATAAATATATTAGATCCCCATATGAATTTATGATATGAATTATATAGGCATAAAATTAGGTTATAGGTGGGAAATCCCGAGATATATGGACATATCCTGGTTGGTGGTTTCAAACATTTTTTATTTCCATAATATATGTGATAATCCTTCCCAACTGACTTTCATATTTTTCAGAGGGGTTGAAACCACCAATCAGATATGGGTCGCTCAGGTGGATCCTGTCCTTGATCCTGCTGCTCAGCGATGTGACCACCACAGAGGCGTGGTGTTTTGCCAACCGTTGCCGGGTCCATGGAGGAGATGAAACAATGGTGGTTTTTATAGGGAAAATGAACACACATGATGACTAACCAATTTTTTTTGATGATATTCTCAGACTTAAGATCCCAAACAGAAAAACATGTGGAAAGGTGCGGGGGGGGGGGGTACCATCCACACATTATCCACACCAAATCCCTGGCCGTGTGGTGCATCGTGGTAAAAAACACCATCCAATAAAAATTGTTGCTATCCATTGGATTATTATGTAATATATTTTAATCATCGTGGTTTCTAAATCATAGTTGAAGATTGTTGCTATCCATGAAACATAAAGTACAAAAACATGAAATGAACGCTATAGTGCAATGAAGAGCATGTGATCCACGAAAGCAATAGCAGGGCGGGAAGCAGGACAATAAAACACACCCAATTTGATTTGGGGCTAACCATTGTGTTGTATACCATTGTATACCCCTTCTTGGGATAACTTATAACAGCCCCCTTCCATAGTTGATGATTTGGATGGTTTCTGGCATTTTTCCTCACCCACCAGTTGTCATTGTCAGGCAGTTTTTGATGCATCGGCCCTGCGCATTATCCGCACCTCGGTATGTTGAGGCTGTTGTCCAGCAACTTTCGAGACATACAACGCCCCATTCGTGGAGTGGAGGGCTCTCTGACATATCCTTTGCCATGTGCTGTCCGAAAGACCAGAGAGACCAGAAATTGGGGACAGACAGGCTCCAGAAATTTGAGAGGATTGGGTATATGGAAGACCGTCTAACCCATATGTTGGGAGGCCACTTTCTACTCATCCCATTTCGACGCCAGATCATGTTTCTACCCATTCCCATTCATTTTTGCAAGTGCTGACCAATCACCTGGCAATAACCCCAAAAGATTCTTTGAACAAGCAGCCTGTATATAGAATGTTTTTATTTTGGCCAGATATATATATATGATTATATATATATATGATTATATATATAATATTCATTTAAATATATATATATATATTTTAATATACATTATAGAATTCATTTCTATTGCCAAACAACACCCCAGGACTATCTTCCCACAAGTCTTGTTGTTCACAACTGCCCGCTTGAAATATTCCTGGATCCAAGCAACTGGGTTCTGACAAAACCTTGGTAAATACCGCAAAAAATATCAAAACACAAATAGTGTAATTATATGTATTTATATAGTCACTGTAAACCATAGCACACATATAATTAGTTATAGTTAAATGATATTAAATGTATATATATATATACATATATAGAGACAGTATAAATCGTAATCATGCATAGAACCCATCAATTAACTCCGAGAGGTTTAATCAGAATCATGTACAATATGTCGGTTAAACATGATTAAAAGTAAATTGGATCATTCAGAAATTCATTTCACCATTAGACAACATTATATATATATAATATATGTATATATATGTATAATATATATATGTATAATATATATATATGTGTATAATATATATATATATATTAATAGTAAAATACCCCAGATGAATGATGAACATCCAATCCAATGGACCTCAAGGTCCGCGCCACGAAACTCGAGGCATGGTGAAGATTTTGCGCTTGTCGCGCATGGCCAAGCTCTTGCGGGCCATCCCGGAGTTGAGCATTGCCGCGTGGACCAATAGGGATACGGATCATCCCACGGCTCGCTAGTGGGTGAACCAACCCCACGATATTTTTTGATAGGGGGAATAACCATCCATTCACCAGCGAGTTTTTTTAGAGTACAGTTTGGGTACCAGGGTTTTGACCTATAACCAGATTTCATCCAGATTTCTTTGTCTGTATGAGGGGGAATATCAATGGATGTCGTAAAGTGGCCCTTTTTTTTAGAGGGACAATGGTGAAATACCAATGGGGATTTTGCGGTAGCCTCGGACAAACCCGCATAGACATATATGGGTGATGCAATAGTGATCTCATTATGGCAATCAGAAAGATGGGGGGGTTGGATAGTTGTGGGTCAAACCCCTGGGGGCCTCTGGCTGCGGAAATAGGTCCTAAAAAATGTTCATCCCAAATGGTACTGTCATATACTGTCGTACAGGTTTTGACATGTTTTGAGCCATCCTCAAATTATGTCCCAACCCCACCAAGCCTGGGAAGTGCTGATTTAGTTTGGTTTCTTCCTAGGGAAGAATCTCAAGGAATGACAAAATTCTGGGCAGGTTTGGAAACGGTCATAGTTTCCCAACGAGTACAGCATGGGCAAAAAACAGTGAATATTGGTGATGTGAATGTTTTTCATGTGTTATTTCTACATCCTGAAGTAGATTGAATGTTCGTCAACATTTCCAGATATTTCCATATTATGCATATACATTTCCAGGATTTTCAGCCCAGGGGAACCCCGAAGTTTGGATGAGTTTCCACTGGACTTTTGGCCATGTTCGATTACCCAAATAGATCTGGATTAAAAAAGGAGGTCCCTCACAGCAACCAAAAAATGCCACCATGCCAAAAATATCCGTAAATGATGGCTAGGAGGGAAGACCACCCTAAAATGGACAAACATTTCAGGTGTCGTTCACGGGGGTAAGCATCATTCGAGGGTCTTTGTTGGTAAGATAGAACCTCCAAACAGATGCAAGTACTCGTAACATCCAACATCATCCAACCCTAAAGTAGCAAATTTGGAAAAAAATTGCCTTTCTCTTGCCCACATCGGTGGATTACTGTAATCATCCAACATCATTGGCAAATTTAAGGGTGATTACTGTAGAATGTTTTTTCATCATCCTCCATTTGGATGTCACCAAAAATTTCTGGCAAAATACCAATCAATTTTCATGGGTAATCCAATTTTACATTAGTAATCATCCATCATTACCAAACAAATTCTCCTTCCTTGGGGATGACTGTTGGTATTCTCTGCGGCCTCGGCAGGTCATCAAAGCCATCGGCGCGGCGGGACGCTCCATGTTGGACACCTGGCGGAAGGACACAGAAAATGGGACTCGAACAGTCAGGAGGACTCGGAAAAAATGTTGGTTGTAGAATTTTGATCTAGTATGTTTATGTATTTTTTCCCATTCAGATAGCCACTTTGGGGCTTGCCCAAACGACAGTCCCAACTGCGAACATTTGACCAACAAAAAGGGTCACCATGGGTGAAGAATAGGAGGAATATCCGTTCAGAAAATATGGGATCATGTGACCTGATTTGTTCGGTGATATAGCCATAGCCATCCATAGCCCAACAACTGCACATTGAGTATGCTGGAACTGGTTGCCACACTTCGCTTATTTCTGGTGAGAGGTCAAGATTTGCCCAGATATGGCTATAGATCAGGCACCTGTTGGTATCAAGCCGTGCAATTTGAGGTAGACAATTGACGAAAAATGGGTATGTAATCCACCAAAAAATGGTGTTCTATCACTTTTGCGATGCTCGTGATAGAACTTCTAATTCCCAGGACCTGGGTCAGCCTGGGAAGATCTTTGATACACCAAAAACCCATGTGTATTCGTTGTGTTCATCCCTCAGACGATCAGACGAACTTCCCCAGATTTGACCATTTGATGTGCCAACTTGGGGGCTACCTTTGACCAAAACAAATCATTCCGAATTCCGAATCATCCCAGTTTCGGTGGACCAATGGCTATGGCCCAGGTGATCGCAGTGTTTTGTTTGATGGTGGTCTATGTCTTTGCCTTAACCCTGAAGCAGATAACCCTCATAGCAGCCTGGCTGCGGCCGATTGGAGCCGGGGTTTTTGTTGCGGGACTTGGCTACTAGGTGATGGATGGCTATTTGTGAGGTTCCCATCCCCAAAATGAGATGATGCAACTTGGGAAAGTCTTTGGATTGAAACTTGTTGAAACCACTTTGATGAACTGTATCACTTTGATTTTGTGACCCCGACTTGCGGAGTTTCCACTTCACTGCACCAGTGGCTGTGGCCGCAAAATCACGCTTACTATAAAACCTGCCAAAATAGGATAGTTACAAAGAATCACCAACCATTTGTTTGCATCATGACGTTGCCGAACAAGTTGAACCAATCCCAAAAAATGACTAATTGTGATTTTACCCCCGCCGAAGGCCCTTTGCTCTGAGGTAAACACAGATCCTTCCAACGCCGTTGTTGCGAGAAATTTCGACTCTGTCCTTTCAGCCATGAACCTCTGCCCAAAGCTGTGATTGCAGTGTGGGCGGCTGTGGGTGTAACCCTGCAACCAACCACATGACATGTATGTTCCACCACAAAAAGAAAGTTCGCTGCAAAACCCTACGTTTGCCCGCGGCGAATCCCGCATATACTTTGACATGCTCAAATCCCTGCGTAGGGTTTGACTTTTTTACTTTCCAAAACAACAAACCCTAAAACCCTCAAACCCTAAAACCAAAAACTCAAAACCCTAAAACCTAAAACTCTAAACCCTAAATTAAAACCCCAAATCCTGAAAACTGAAAGTCAAAATCACTGCGTATAGCCAGTGTTTTCATTCATCCTTTGGTGACAAGTATATCATATTGTTTGGATGTGTTGTTTGAGTGTGGCGAACCCGGGGTTTGGAGGGAACAAGTTCTATACTATACTATACTGTAGGTTTTGATCATTTTGCTCCAGCGCCAATTCTCCGGATTTTTGCGGGAACATACATTTTGGATCATTTTGGGACATGAACATCCAGGGCTGCCAGGGTTTTGATACATAGCCACGTATCCTCCAGAAGTGGTTTTTTCTGATGTTTTCGCTCTCGAAGTCGCAATATGTCGCAATTCTGAATCGATGCCCGAGGAACACCCTGTTGCTGCGAAGTCTCTTTTCTGACAGCGTGGCATGGCAGCAGATCCCATGGCAATTCCTGAACCATTGGAATTCCATGGAATTGCCATGTAATTATTGTAATTGAGCCCAGAATATCTTCAAAGACAACACCTTTTCACAAATTTCAGTCGTAAAAAAAATGGTTTCTGAAAAAGTATACAGGGAAGCTGCGAAGCTGAGAGTAAAGCTCTGCAAAATTCGATCCATGTCTATCTATGTGGAGTTCCTGCCTCAGTGATTGTATCCATGCCATGTGTGGTACATACGTATATGATACATTATGATTATGATACAATATATGATCACATTGCAAGATTAGAGCTAGATGTTCTGGTGACATACATGGTGCACATTACATATAGTCAATATCCACCATGAAGAAGTACAATTTTACGACCACCACCACCACCACCATCACCACCACCACCACGACGACCACCACCACGACGACCACCACCACCACCACTACCACTATTTACTATGGTGTGCAATATGAATAGGTGATTACACGAAAATCTACCATCCATGGTTGTTTATTCACAGGCAGAACTGGTGACAGATCTGTCCAGCTGGCATCCGGTCTTCTGGCCCTGCATCATGCTCTTTGCTCCTAGGCTGAGGTTGAACTGGCGAGGAAAGGATGGATTTGGTTGATGCTGGTTATTTTTTTTAAGACTATAGACTATAGAAATTCTTTGCAGATTTGAGGAACAGAGATGAGGGAAAGTCTGGTTTGCATTTGCATGCACTGTTTAAAGAGTAGAATCAGCGACCAGCACAGATTGACAGGGTAGTACCTCGAAAAGCAGGTCTTGAGACGGGCATAGTTCATGGAATGAAAGCGACGAAGAGCATATCTCCCATTTTAACCCTTGCTAGCTGAGATATATCCCATGTTCGTGGGTTGAAATCACCATGCTGAATTTCCAGTACCTAAGTATCAGTAACTGGCTATTGATGAGACCACAAAATCAAGAGCTCCTGAGCCGCTGAGCCGGTGGCTGATCCAAGACGCACAAGAATCATGAGCCAGCGACCTCTGAGAATGGCCCATCAATACAACCATAAACCATCCATAAACCCAATAGTTGAGATTAGATGATTACTTGCTATCAACATCTATCAACTACAAACTGAACTATGAAATCTATGAGCTGGCTCATTGGAAGATTGGAAATGTCATTCGTCGATATGAAACGTACCCCGCATGAACATGGGCCTGCAACATGAATGGATCCAACACTGAAGCTTACTGTGATCAACTTTGAACCGCCAAATCGATTGAACTTAGTTTATCATTATTGTTATAATTAGATATAATTAGAATATCATGTATTTTTTTATTAATGTATTTTATGGTGATTGTGGTTCCCTATCATATGCGCCATGGTGAAGACTTGGACTATATTATCATACTGGGGGATGGCCATCCCTATTGCTGTGGGATTTTCCAGTGCCATGTGACTGATGACACCGGAGGATAAATCCATTAATCACCATGATGAACCATTTTATGAATCATTATGAATCATGAATCTAACCATAAATAACATTAAATAACCATTATGAATGTTATTCTATCAAATCATCACCGGAGGGTTCTTCGCATCTTTTGATCATGGTACTAATATGCAACTGCCAGGTGCTGATCACTTCGGCACCTTGGAAAAACCATGGTCTGTGGGTCTGTCCAGGATGTGTTTCGTTCGGGCTTTTGGTATTTGTTCTTTCAATGTGCAACAAATACGAAGGATTTCAGCAGGAAAAAAACATTGGATTTTGCAGGACAGCTGGGGTTTGAACAAGGATCTGAGAATAGTTTTTGTTTTTGAATTCGCTAGCAACTAGCAAATGTGCGTTCCATGACTTTCAAATTTCGTCACGAGGGTGTTGTGGAACTCCTGAAAGCAAGCCGCGCATCTGGCATGGTTGGCATGTGTTGGCATTGTTGGATGTATTCCCATGAGTTTTGGTCGATGGCCCTACAAGCATCATTAGGGTCGGCCATCAAGCCATAGGCCCTCTTTGGGATGGCTCACCGCGGGTGAGTTTCAACTCATCAGTCAAATGCACGGTATATTATATTAAAAGATACATCTAAGATCTAAGACCTTATAAGTATATATACACATATATATATATATCACATATAGATATATACCTAGTATATATGTATACATGACACGACGCGACATTACATTACATGACCTGACCTGAGATGACATGACATATATATATATTATATATATATACATATCTATAGACATACACATCCATATGCGTACACAGTTTCTATCACTTATGATCACCTTCACACAGCGTGGACGGCATCCCATGACCTTGACTTTGTCGGTGTCAAAACCTCTGGTCGCCTATTTTCCCTATGGACCCATTGAGGTCACCATGATGTACATGCTGATGGGTGTCATGGTGACCATGCTGCATGAAACCAAGGATGGGGAGAGTTTGAGCAATGAACTTGAGCAGCGAAGCAACCTCAATAAGGACCCAACTGTGGCAAAATAGAATAGGCAACACACACACATACAGATAGATAGATAGATAGACAGACAGACAGATAGATAGATAGATAGAAAGATAGATATACACATATAATCATATATATGGATATTATGACATTGCATAATGCCAACTGCAATGTCCATCTATGTTTTTTGGTCACAACCATGTGCACCCTGAATTGGTAGATGAGTTCATCAAGTCGACTTGTCGATGTGTTTCCAACGGTTTTGCGGAGAGCCGAGTAGATGCTGACAACAAATTCACTCATTCTGGGAACAAACAAGTCTATATGTATAAGTCTGTATTTATAGTCTTAATCTTAAGTGTCCATAATAATATCTATACAGTCTACACATATATGTATATAATGTGTATATTATACACATACATATATATATATATGAATACACTCTATCTCCATGCTTGTTTCATTCCTACGCTTGCTGTTTCAACTCCCGAACTTGGGGAGTAAACTCCGCATACTGTTTTTGGGTTAAAGGGTCTCTAAATCTTGTCAAATCATTGCGTTAAGAACGCTTAGTCGATGATTTGCAGGGGGTTACACTGCTCAATATTTATTTTGGAGTATCACTGCTCCACATGTTTATCCTATCCCATGGGGTATACACTCCAATCATTGGAAGACTGGGAATCCACCACGAATCAACTGATCATCTCATACCCTGGCACCCACATGGGCATCCATTGGTTAAGAGGGATTACTATAGTTGGTTAGCAGGGATGTTGTAGTAGCAGTAGCAGTAGTTGTTGTTGTAGTTGTAGTAGTAGTAGTAGTTGTTGTTGTTGTTGTTGTTGCTGTAATAGTAGTAGTAGTAGTAGTTGTTGTTGTTGTTGTTGCTGCCATCATCTCCATGAGTGAATTCAGATGAAATCCGGTCAAGTCCTCATATCTTTCGTACGATCTCCCTCTGAAAGGGGCATCCGAACGATAGGAAAGTTGGTATTAGTTGTGACAATAACATGGGTTTCAATGGAAAACTAGTGTTTCAATGGAGTTATATCCTTTTTTGCACTTTGCAGATGCTGCGTCAGTTAACGCTTGGACATGCACGCAATCATCGATGGTAATCCGGCTGGACAATGGATTCATCGGTGAATTCTATTGTATTTAATTGTTGCAAATCCATTGGCAACGTGGGCTGACTGCTCTGCAGTTGCCTCTCTGTCAAAAACCTGGAAATTGCAACTGCAAGGGCTCGATTCATGGCCTCGGGGTACACTTTGGCCCGAGCCGTGGCAAAAGAGCCATCCTGCTGAATTCCCTGCAACGGCTTGTGCTGGCGCTGATATGGGCAACGTCCCATAAGTCCCCTGGTGAAAGTCAGGTCCTTGAATGTGTGAAGCCGCAGAAGCATCAGGGTCGTGGGCTTGGTAGCTTCGAGGCCATACACACATTGATCAAATGAGCAAAGCTGAACACATGCCAGCCTCGCCAAAATTCTCAAGGCCTGTAGCGCCCAAATTGACGCTGGCCTGACCTTCATCAACCACAGTGGAAATTGAGGATGCTCGATGAAGCCGCATAGTCCGAGCTGAGATGCAATCACAAAAAGGCCAACCAAGAACTGGATTAACTTCGTGCCTGTAAATACCTGGTCCCATTGCCTGCTTGTGAGACCAGTGATTCCCCAAGGAGCATCGTGAGATCTCAAGGGCGATGGTCCATCAGGCATGTGCCTGGCAGCTGACCAAGTTTCGCAACTCGGGCCGCCACCAATGCCCAGTATTTGCCCTTGTCGCATCTTATGAATCCAGAACTCTTTTGTGTCCGCATCTGTAAGATCTGAGAATCGTTTCGCCAAACAGAGGTCCACTGAGATACAGAAGATCTGCTGATTGCCAACTATCTCATGACTCTCGATACAATGCTGCAAATCACCTTTCCTTCTAAATCCACTGAAAAAGTGCACAAATATGAAGCATTTGATATGAAGTTTGGCGGCCACAGCTGCCAAACCAAACTGCATGTAGATTCCTGCTTCTCCTTGCACTTTGCCTCCATTCGACTGGAGGAGAAATGGCAGAATTTCTGCCTTTCTGTCATGGGTCTCTGTTTGTTGCTCACAATAACCATCCAGTCCCTCGAAAGCTCGACCGGTTTCAGAAACACGCACACTCCAGCGCGCTCTCATACGATCCGCACCCTCTGTTCCACTTCCGGGAAGAAGAGGTCCTGAAACACGAGTAACCGGGAGGAAGGCTTTGGAGGCTGACCAGCCTTGAGCCCGAAGGGCCCTTGCCTGTTCTCGCTCATCGATTTCGATTTGTTCTACCATCTCCTCAGCAGCAGGCACAAAACATGAAAAGTATGTATCTTTGCACGTCTGTGAAGCACTTGCATGTGCTAAAAGCCTGGTGCGGCTGAAGAATTTCTTTCCACATGCCAGGCACTCATCCCCTAGGACATAGTACTTGAGCATGGTTCTGTATTGATGTTTGTGCCTTGCATGCACTGCCAAGGCTTTCTTGGAGCCAAAGCTAGCAACGCACAGGTTACACTTCCATTGGCCTTCCTGCAGGGGAGAGACAACCTCTGGCAACTGGGCAAAGCGAGACACCTGAAATTGCAAACGGTGAGTCCACAATTTACCACTTGCATTGGCTGCAGTAAAACGTAGACATGATTTGAGCGCTGCTTTGACCTTGCCTTTCCATCTCACATCAATGGCAATGAAGGAAAGTAGCTCACTTACATCACCAAACTGAGGAAGAGCAACACGAGGCAGGTGTGTACACAACCATTTATATGAGGTCATCAACCATGGCAGCCAGGAGTGAACATGATCATTAGCATGGAGCAGATCCCAGAGTGCTGAAGGCGCAGCCTGGATAGCTCTTTTCACATACCTGAGCCGACTAGCATGCAAAAGGTCTTGTGGCCCATGAAGTCCCATTAACGCACATATCTCAGCAGTGGTGAAATGAAACGGAGGAACTGGACGCAACCGGTTTTTGGCAAGAGAAGCAACCTGTGCTCTGATACCATTTTCCCAGTGCACAACATCTTTCTCTGAAACCCAGGCCCACGTATGGGCATTGTAGGTGTGCCGAGACATTACCAATGCTTCAAACACCGCACTTTTCGTCCCATCATGGACATTTCTCTTGCT